TGGTCTTAAGGCTATGACATCCACACAGAATATCAAGGGATGCGGGGATGATTCTCCTTTCATCTGTGTAGACACTCAAAGGGGATCCTTCTATCCCAAAAGTGGATTTTTAAAAAAAATTGAATGATCCCATTTGACTATTTGAATGGATCTAGTGAGTTGTATAATGGACTAATCTCCACTTCACTCTAAGGAAAGTAGCAGACAATGTGCTGTTCCCCTTCCCCAATATTCAGGCCCTGGGGAGATGGTGGATTTTGCCCCTGTGGGTATATGATAGTGAGAGAAATGATTATTAATAACCAACGATTTGAGGAGACTCAGATTTCCCCCTTTTTCTATTATCCTCATTTCAAGACCTCAGTGTCTGAAGGTTGAGCTAACCATCTCCTCTATCCAACCCCACCTAACCTTACAAGGAATTGCTAGTCTAAGGTGAATTCCATTCAGTTAAGCTTGGGTGAAGAGAGATTCTTTTGTCTACATGGCCCAAGGTTGTGAGTGGTCTGGGTATGGGGATAGTCTCTCTGTCCAAGAGGAACATGATGTCACTCTCAGCCCCTTATTGGAGTGAGCTCACTTCTCTTTGAAAAGTCCACCTTTCATTAATTTGTTAAACAATCAGAATTGATCGCTACAGTTAGGAACATCCCCCTTCCAAAAGGGCATGTAAGTTGTGAGCCTGCTGCCATGATTGTCTTTGGTCTAAGAGAGAGATGACCAAATGACCATCCTTTTATTAAAATGCTGACATTATTAATAAAATGGTTAAATTACCCAGAAATTGTCTCTTGAGCTTTTTAATTGCCGCAACAGTGAAGAAGTCATCATTCATTAAACATTTATCAAATGCCTGCTGTATGCTCAGCATTGTGCTAGATATAGGAAGTTACCAATCCTAGAAATGGAGAATTTCAGAGTAGGAAAGGTCTTTAGAAGTCACTCAAATAAACAGGGGCCTTTATGGGGAAAAAAATCCCAGCTCCCAAACCCTTGCTCTCAACTGTCCTTTATTGTTTCTGTTGTCTAGCATTCTTCTATCCTTCTGTACTCAAGCTTTATGTTTTCAGCTTATGGTGTTGGATCTCATCAACAGCTCTCTGAAGCATGTGTATTGTATTAGTCAAGTATTCCTCCTCTAAGGTTTTACTCTGCTGATGCATCGTGGGATGGAACTAGCCCAGAGTCTTTCAAGGTTCTACCAGGTCTGACCAAGCTGGACAGTTTCTGGTTGGGGAGCCCTGTTAGAGATGGAAAATAAGAAACACAGACTTGGGCATAGCCAATTCAGGAATCTGTTATGAGTAGATGAATATATTTATCACAGGGTTCTTGCTTTTTTTTTTTTTAATTTGTAGGTTTTGGAGACGAGGTAGAAGGAATAGAAAATAATTGAAAGAAAAGAATGTAAGGTCCTTGAGAGTAGGGATTATTTCATTTTTTGTATTTGTATCTCTAGTGCCTGGTACCTGACACACCTAATAAAGGCCTGTTGATTAATTGATTGAACAATAGGATGTATGTCAATTTTACAAAGACCAATCTCCAAACCTAGGGGAGCTCAGGCCCAAATATTTTGTGGAAAAAGTGAATTTTTTGCAGATGGTACTCACAAAGCTCTTACAGCTTTGCTGTGTGGAGGGATTAGGGTCTGTATCTATAGAAGGAACAGTCAGCCCTATGGAATCACAGATGCCTGAAGCATTTCAATGTGTTATACCTCAGGAAGAATGAGTTTGCTGGGTTCTTTTTTTCAGAGCAAGTTTGATCTGCAAGAGAGATCAAGAATGTTGTCTCAGCATTAGCAAGCAAGGAACAGGAAAGTAGACTAGAAAATCTCTGAGATCCAGCTTCTTATCTCTGCTCCTAACTTGTCCTCTGAGAGCAGAACCAGGAGCAACGAACAGGTAGAAACTGCTGATGGAGGCTCAATATAAGGGACGAAATTCTTACCGAGGAGAGAGATTCCAAAGTGGATTGAGTTGCTTCGTGAAGTAGTGGGTTCCTCCTCCCTGGAGGTGAACAGCATTGGATGACTACTTGTTAGGTGTCTTGTAGTGTGGATTTTTGTTCAAATGTGGTTTGGACTAGATGGTCTTTGAAGTTCTATCCAACTCCCCGGATTCTGAGGGCCCAGAGCAGACTCCTTTTTTGCTGCCAATTGAGTTGAACCAAGTCAATGTTTAGGCCAAAGCTCACTGTACCTCTGAATAGTAGAGAACAGAAACATGCCCCCGACAAGATTGTACTGGGGGTGGCAGCAGAATGGATCACAGATGAATGAAGCTACAGATGGAGCACAGCTGGCCTAGCCCTCTACCCCTACTCCTATATTTAACTACAGACTGAGCGCAACTGGTTAGCTCCTCCGCTATTTACCTTCTGCCCCCCACTCCTTAGGAACTGAATACTGCTGGTCAGTGCTCCATCTTTAGCCAAGAAATAACTACTACTCTCTACCTATAATTTACCCTGAGAATGAACACCACTGACTAGATACCTCTACCCTACCGCCACCCCCTGTCCATCTTTAACCAGAGCCAACACTGGAGTTCACAAAACCCAATTTATGGTTTCCAATCACTTCCTTCTAGGCCCTTAGAAGTGATGACTTGTAAATTAATTGGATCATTTATATTCCCTATGGATATAAGGAAAGACTTAGTCCTAGCGTCTTCTAGAGGCCTGGCAGAGACAGCTGCTTTTTCCCTGTAATGGATGCTTGACATTTCTTTTAATTATTTAGGCTCATCTGAACTGGATGCTGAAGCCCATCCATCTTACCAAGAAGCCCCTGTGGCCCAGGCCAGAGGGGCCTGGAGTGGGTACCAATAGCAATCTGGCAGCAGGACCTATATCTAGCAGTTGTGGTCTTGAGCAGACTCATTAGTAAATAACCATGACAGTAGATCCCCTCTCTAATTTCTCTAGATGTATTGACTGGGGAGACCCCAGAAAAGAAAAATGGCCCAAAAGGGATTTGTTGACACTGAGTCCAGCCATATTCAGAGTTCAGGCAAGGCCTTGATTAAAGCCTCTTCTCTCTATCCCGACTACCAAACTTTAGTCAATAAGCCGCTAACAATAACAAATAACTACATGACACCACACAGAACTGTTGGAACTAAATACAGGCTCTGAGTGTGAAGCAAATTCCATTACTGTTTCCTCTCTCATTACCTCAGACCTCCTTTCCTAGGCTATAGAGACAATCTTCCCTCAGGCATTTGCACAAAATAAGCCTCTGCATTTCTGTCTTTATCCTTCCTTTATTTTCTCCTCCTTTCTTCCCTCCTTTCCTTCTTTCCTTCTCCCTCCCTCTTTCCCTTTCTTCCTCTCTTCCTCCCTTCTCTTGCCTTTTCTTTTCTTCTCTTTCCTTCCCTTTCCTTCCTTCCTTCCTTCCTTCCTTCCTTCCTTCCTTCCTTCCTTCCTTCCTTCCTTCCTTCCTTCCTTCCTTCCTTCCTTCCTTCCTTTCTTCCTTCCTTCCATACCTCCTTGTCTGACATTCTTTCTCTCTTTTTTTTTTATCTCTCAGGATGGTGGGGTTTTAATGTGCCTGCTCTGTGGTCTAGAGCTTCAAAACTAAGAGACCTATAAGAGTCTGGGGGTATTGTGTTTTTGCAAAAGTTCAGCTCTTGGAAATGATCCAGCTCTATTTCCATCTTGTGTGGAAAATATAGAATTACGGTGAATTATATTGAAAAATTAGATTCATTCACTGCTGTGATAATTTATCTCCCAATCTGTCCCTGAGAGTTAGCAGCTGGTGAGAAAATAAAATGTAATTTAAGGGGGGGAAAATCACTTTTAATCTGTGTCTGGCAGGAAGAGCAGCTATTCAGTGAGTTTTCTGTTCACCAGGCTCATGGCTTTTCCTGGGTCCAGGTTAAAATGCAACGTGGTAATAGAGAGGGAGCCCTTGCCAGATGTGGGCCAGACAGACAGAAAGGCAGGTCAACCAGGCCTCTCTCAAAATAGAAAAGCCTGCCCCCCCCCCAAATGTCAGCTCTCTTTGGATTCCAGTGGGTTCTTCCTGCCAAGAAGGATACACTCTAAAGCCCTGGGTTTTTCCAAGATCGGAAGCATCTTTGTATTTCTCCAGCCCTGAGGGAAGAGAGGCAGCCCCATCATTTACAGCACAGAGTGACAGGCCAAGTCCATTTGGGTTGGCTGCTCTCATGTTTGTAATGATAATCATTTTTCTTCTCTGATATGTCCCATTATGTGCAAGGCAATGGTCATGACATCATTAGCTGAGTCAGAAAGCTGAGCTAATCACATGTCCTGTGGAGGAGAGGCTGAGATCTACCTACCAGTGAGCCCTTCCTCCATCAGGCAGACTTTCAGCCCCATACTAATTTAATACCCCTCACAATCCCTCAAGAGCAAAGGTTTCCAAAATTGCTGCCCAGTCTGAACTCCTAGGTCTTTATTCCCGGGAAGAAGGATGTAACTAGTCAGGGGCAAATGGGGGTGGAGGAGGGCACAGCGGTGGAGGAGTCGCTTCCTCCCCTCAGGCAGTGGACACTTTCACATTTTCACTCCATCGTGTACATTGCATTGTACTCATCTAGTGTCAAGGAGTGCAGACACCAGGAAGGAACTCCCCGGGGAATGGATTGGACTCATGGTAGGACGACAGTGCACTGCTGAGCACATTACCCCTCCCCTCCCCCCCCATCCCTATGCACAGACACCATTGGAACATTCTCTATGAACTGCCCTCTGTGCTGCTGGGCCCACCACCCCTTCCTGTGGGCCTATACTCTAAGACAGCATTAACCCTATCCTCGACTGAATTGTGTCTAAACAGAGCTGATTATGAATCTCCCTACTAAAATATTCTACGGTGACAAGGAAATTGACAATTAATCAATAAACAAGCATTTATTGGACACTTACTATATGGGAAGTGCTGTGTATGGTTCCAGGGTTACAAAGACGTCACTGAAGCAGTCTGTGCCCTCAAGAGACTTCTATCTTATCAGGGGATACAATATGCTGGCTTATATAAAAATGTATAAAAAAATACAAGGTGATTTTGCTGGAGATGGCTGGGTAACTGCTGGGAAGATCAAGAAAGGCCACATGTAGAAAATCACATTATTTATTTGTTTATCTATCTATCTATCTATCTATCTATCTATCTATTTATTTATTTATTTATTCATTCATTCATTCATTTATTTATTTTTTAGAAAATTACATTTTTGAATGAGTCTTGAAAGAATCTAGGAGTTCTAAATGGTGGAGATGAGGAGAGAAGGAATTCCAGGCCAGCACAAAAGGCATGAAATCATGAAATGGAGTGTTATGTATAAGGAAAAGCAAAGCAGGTTTGGCTAAGGGAGCATGAAAAGCATTAATGTATGATAAAGCTAGAAAGATAATATGAATAGCTACCATTTACATATTGTTTTAAAGCCTGCAAAGCACTTTAAAATATTATTTTACTTATTCTCACAATGGCCCTGGGTGATAGATGCTATTATTTGCCCCCTTTTATAGATTAGGAAACTTAGTTAGACAAGTCAAGTGATTTGCTAAGGGCTACACAAATAGTATCTGAGGCAAGATTTGAACCCAGTTCTTCCTGACCTGGTACTGGCACTCCGTCTGCTGTACCACCTAGCTGCCCTAGGTAGGCTGAGACCGGTTTGTGAAGGGCTTTAAAGGCCAAATAGAGGAGTTTTCATTTGATCCTAGAAGCCACAGGATTTTATTGAGAAGGGAAGTGACATGGTTTGGCCTGTATTGTAGGAAAAGAAATGAAAAAAGCAGTTGGGTCTGAGTCCACAAACCTGCTACCAGGTAACCTCATCTGAGAGGTAGAGTCTGTTTGTAGCCTGCTAGGCCACAGGGTGGTCTCTATTTTTCCAAAATTTTATTTCACGAAAGAGTAGTCACGGTATTGTCGAATCTCACCCCCAATAGAAAGGCAGCCCAGGGTAGAAAGAAAGGGCCTGAACCAGGTGGGAGACAACCTGGACTCCATTCCTGGCCCTGACAAAGACTAATTGTATGACCTTGGATAAGTTACATTATGGTATCCCTATTACTTCATCTGTCAAAGAAGGAGTTTGCACTGGGTGATTCCTGGTGATTTTTGAGTGATGTTTGGGAAAGAACATTAGATTTGGAATTAGAAGACTTGCATTTGAATAAGACCCTAAGATCCTATGACTGCCAAAGTCTTTTCAGCTGCAGCATTCTACAGATATAGGCGATGCATCCTCTTGCCCTACTCTATAAACATGTTCACAGTTTAGTAAGATTTGTTAATTTTTAGGGATTCGTTAATTTGTTAATTTACAGATATAGAGGACTGGTTTGATCAGATTTGCATGGATGGTCTAGCCTAGGTTTCTAAACATGGAAGTCAGGACCTCAGAATTTAGTGGAAAGGGAGTAGGGGCACTGTGGAAGTGGCCAGTGAGAGGGAGCTCAGAAGAAGCCAGCTTTGAGACATAAAGGAACCAGGAATTGGGTTTTATGGAGGCAGGTAGAGTCATGCTAAGTTATTTCCTGAGGCACCATGGTGAGGCTAACACAGAGGAGAGGTAGATAGAGAAAGAGGCCAATTGGCCCAGAGAAGCAGTATCACCCTCAATGACAGAACTAAGGGCATTTTTTAGGAGATGAGTCCTTGGCTTTGGTCCTGGACACTTCTAGACTCTGAGGGTTAATTTGTTTCATCTTTCCTTTAGTTGCTAATGAAGTCTTTTTGAGAAACTGCTCTCTGTCCCAAGTGATGATGGGGAAGAAAGGAAGAGTTTTGGCTGGGTTAAGACAGATGTGGCTAAAACTGATTCCTCAGAAGTCCACTGTTAGTAGTGACAGAAGCAGACGGAGAGGGAGAGGGAGAGGGAAGGGGGGGGAAGAGAGAGAGAGAAGAGGCTGCTCCTCATCAGCTCAAACTATGGCTTAAGTCAGGCTTTGACTGGGGTTAGAGGTCTATCCAAGTATAGATTCTGGGTTCTTTTCTCACTGGAAGAGGGACTGTGCTGTTTTGTGTTCATACATTGGGCCCAGCACATACATACATCTAATCCAAGCCAAATCAGCCTGGGCTGAAAGAATAACTCAGAAGTTGCTAGAACTCCCTGTATATCCCTATTTTGGAACCTGGGATACCCATAACAGAGGTGGCATTGTGGCAGTTGTCCTAGTCCAGCTCAATTCAATGACTATTCATGAAATGCCAACACAGTGCCAGGCACTGTAGTGAGAACTGGGGATACAAAGACAAATGAAATAGTTCCTGCCCTCACGGAGCTTACATTCTACTGGAGAGGGAGGCAGAATAGAACATTTAAACAGATTAATATGATATAAATTGAGGACTTAGAATAAAGGGACTTTAGAGAATATGCAGCCTAACTCTTCACTTTACAGATGAAGAAACGGAGGCACAAAGAAATAAGGTGACTTAGCCAAGGTCACAATACAAGTGTAATGTACTTTCCAGTTCAACACACAACCTTTTCCCATTGCCACCTCAAAAAAACAACCTTTAGTGATCATCTAAGTCCAATTGCTTCTTTGACAAACAAAGAAACAGAGATATATACAATTTAATTTAAGGAGTTAGAGAAACATTAAAAATTAGGGGTATCAGGAAAGTTTTCCTATGGTAAACTGCACCTGAGTTGAGCCTTGAAGGATGCTATGAATGCTAAGGAAAGGAGAACTTCCACTATGGGTCAATTCTATTCATGTACCACCTATGGCAGAACTTTGAAAAGAGTACATACCTTTTCTAGTGCTGAACTATTGAAAACTCTTAGACTAGGGGAGCATGCAGGAGCTCATCTGGGCTATCCTCCTGCCTCCAGGCAGGATTTGGGTTCCTGTTCTTCTCTCCAAACATGTTGAATATGACTGCTAGTTTCAAGAAAAGAGAGAAATGGTGTGATTCAGATTTAGGCATGGGGCGGGGAGGGTGGGTGGGGAGAGAAGTAGCCTTAAATTTGCAGCCAAAGCTTAATATTTTGTTCAAGGTCAATAAGGCTATGAGAGTTCTCAAAACTCTATGGTTCTGAAAAAGGAATCAGTCTGTATTTATTCACCTTGGAAAGACTCTACCCTGTAGTCCAGAGAGATATCGGACTTAAAAGTAGCTGCTTAAATCACTAAGTCCCCCCTCTGGCTAAGTAGTTTGCTCTGATACCGAATCATCTGTGTATTTTTCCCATATATATATATTTGTGTGTGTGTGTGTACACATATACATATATATATCTTGATTATGTTTCTCACATACTGATAGGTGTTAATGTCCCCACTCCCCAACCCCCACCCCCTGCTGGAGGTAGAGACATATTTTTGGATGGGGAAAAAAAACAACAGATTCTATTGAATTATTCCCAAACTTCCCACTAAATTACGTTTTATTTAGATTAGCAAAGAAAAAAGCCCTTCAAGCTCTTAATGGAGTCATTTAATTTAGAGCATTTGGGCAGTATGGTGCAGGTGCATGGTTGACCAATCACGGGGGGGTGCAGTGCTTGTGTCTCAGGCTTTACTGGGAGCAGGAGGGTTGGGGCAGGAAGTGGCAATGTTTCCGGATCCTTTTCTCCCCACTTCCTTCCTACTCTTCTCCTTTCTCACCATATTGGCCTCCCATAGTAGGTCTGGCCACTGGGCCCTTTGCTTAAGTGACCCAGTGGTCTCCTTTGAGGGTTAGTTTGTCTCTAATCTTTGTGATGGAAGTATGAAACAAGACAGGGAAAATGTAAAGATTTCTCCACAGTGGAAAGTTCGCTGGTCTTGGAGTCAGGAAGACCTGAATTTGAATCCTGCCTCCAACACTTAGCAGCTGTGTGACCTTGGCAAGCGATGACCTCTCTAAAGCTTAGTCTCCTCAATAATAAAATGATGATTTGGATTTGATGGCCTCTAATTTCTCTTCTAACTTTAAATATATCATTCTATAATCTTATTAGAAGGCAAAATGTTCACCACATTACCTGGATACTTCTCTCCCATCCTCATACAACCTTAATGGTGAAAGCGACTTGAGACCTCATCTAATTGCAACAGTCATCAGAAGAGGAATTCCCTCTACCACTCAATCAGTTCAAAAACAGATATCAATTTCCTCCCAACAACCTTTCCTCTCACCATTTTCATTATTTCTATTGAAGGTACCTCAACAAGTGTCCATCCAGTCTGTGCCTGAAGCTTTTTAGTGATGGGGAGCTCATTACTTATAAAGCAGCCTGTTTCAGTTTAGGATAGATCTAATTCTTAGAAAACCTGAATCTTTGCAACTTCCACCTAGCGCTCTGAAGCCAAGTAAGATGAGTCTTATTCTTCTGCCGTGTAACAGTCCTACAGATCCTTGAAGGTGGCTGGCATGTGCCTCTTTAAGACTTCTTCCCCAGAATAAACATGTAGAAATGACACTGCTTCCTTCAGTGTGATGGCTGGGTCTCAGCTGTTATTTGGAGGATGCACTTTTTGGAAGACCCTTCAAATTCTAAATCCTGTGACCTCTTCTTCCTCCCATAGTTTCCTCTTAACCAGATTCTACGCATCCTTGAAGATCCAGCTCCTGTCAGCTCCAAGAAGTCTTCCTTAACTACTCTAGTCCATATTACTCAGTCTTTTATAGTGCCTACTGTTCACATCATTCATTTAGTTCCACCTAGACTATCCTATGTGTTCATGCCATCTCTGCAACTAGATTTTGAGCTTTCTTAGGACAAGCATGGATAAGTCTTTATTTGTTTTTGTCTCCCCTTTATAACTAATTGTAGAATAAGGAACATGTAGGTGCTCAGCACACATCCAGGGGTGGGGAGCCTGTGGTCTCAAGGCCACATATGGCCTTCTAGGTCCTCAAGTGTGGCCCTTTGACTGAATCCAAATTTCACAGAACGAATGTCCTTAATAAAAGGATTTGTTCTGTAAAACTTGGACTCAGTCAAAGGGCCACACCCAAGGACCTAGAAGGCCACATAAGCCTGAGGCTGCAGGTTCCCCACCCTGGCTTAGACAAATCAAACATAGGGACTTAGGGGCGTGTGGTAACTGGTGAGCACATGTATTCAATTCATTCAATAAGCAAGTATTAAGTGCCTACTATGTGCCAAGAAGTTTGCTAGTACCTTGATGTAGAGCAACAAAAACTAAATAGGTCCTGCTTTCCAGTAGCTTAAATTTTATTGAGGGAAAACAATGTGCATATGGAAAATATAATACAAAATGTAAGCAAACAAAATGATTGAAACTTATTGTTATAAAATTTAAATAACTAGGCTTGGCCCCAAAGAATAGATATGAAAATATTCCTAATCTGGCTCCTTTGCAAAAATGAGGTTCCATGAGTATGAAACATTGCGTATAATGTCAAAATTTTTTGATATGTTGATTAATTTTGCTGAGTTTCAAAATTTTCTTTCATTCATTTTTCTACTTTATTATAAGTAATGTTTCCCCAAGAGGGTGGAGGTCATAGTGAGAATTAAGAATACATTTAGTAGGAAGAAATAGAATGGAAAGAGGTGGCAGGATAGGAGGTTTATTGAGAGGAATCCCAGAATCCAGAGTAATGGAAGTATTTTGGTTATGAGTGATGGTGAGATTTAGGTCATGACCATCCCTGTGGGTGGCTGAGGTAGCGTTAAAATGTAGGTCATGGAAGCTGAGGAAGCTAATGAATTGGAAGGCAGAGGCATTTTTGGAGATATCAACATGCATATTGAAATTCCTATCTATAATGATAGAGACTGGGCTAGAAAGGAAGACTTTAAGCAAGGGACTGAACTCTATGAGAAAGGTAAGAGAGTGACCTAGGGTCCAGTGAAGACCACAGCTGTGGTCTGGGTGATACAGGGATGGTGTGAATTTCAAAGGAAGAAGGGCTACATTTGATGGTGGGAGGAGAGAATCAAGAAGGATGCCCTTTCCTCCTTCTGGTCTATTTTTCTAGAACACGAGAGAAGCAAAACTGTCTTGGAGAAGATGCAGTGATAAGAATATAGGAGCAAGCAAGTAAGAAGAGGACTAGAGCCAAGGGAAGTCTGTTAATGATGAAACAGGAGCTCCAGGGCTTCAATGGAAGGGGAAGGCAGAGAAGGATAGAGATTGGGGAGGGAAGGGGTTGAGGGGGTGGAGCAGAGAGAGTGAGGAGGGGGAAAGGGAAGTAGTAGGGGAAGGAGTTCTTTGATTCTCAAGGATCAGGGGAACAGGAGATAGTAGTCTTATAGACATTGAATGGGGAAGTATCAGTTGTTTGGGACTCCAACTTTCCACCATTACAGAGGGTAGCATCAATCTGTTCTCTTCCCAAGACCAGGAAAGAAAGGACTGAACAAACAAGATTGGTTCATACTCTTGGGTCAGTAAAAAATTAGCCTTTGGGTCCTCAATGACTGGTTGAACTCAGGCTTGGCCTAATTCCTTTAGATAATTCCAAAATACAGGGGAATAGCATGCCCAGAAGATGTTTTTCTATGAAGCATTCATTTAACTCACATGTAGGTCAAATTTCTGAATTGTTGGTCTAGGACAGGACTCTTGTGGTGTGGAAGATGGTGTCTGGCCACTCAGCAGGCTGACTTGTTTCTTCTTTTTTTTTAAAATTTGTTTTTATTTTTAATTTATGGAATAAAACAAGCATTTCCATGATACAGTATAATAAAAAAAGATGATTGCAAAGGATGAAACTGTAAATCTACTATGTGCAACTTGCTATTCCTTTTAAATACACAACAAAATTATCATGTAAATTTCTTTTTTTCCCTCCCTCCTGCTCCCAATTTGTGTCTAATGCTTCTTTTCTCAGATGGGTTAATGAAGCAGGGAATGATGGGCAATGCCTCCCTTTGTGGCAGTAGAATCTGGACCTAGAACAGTTGCTTGTAAGTAGAGATGAGAAGCAAGATATTGTAGGTTAGGGATATTGTAGGTTAGCTTTCAAATCCAAAGTTCAGAATGTCAAAGTTAGATTCTTTTCCTCTCAGGTCTAGAGATAGAGAAAGAAGAAGTAGGTGCTAGGTTAGAAACCTATATGTCAGCAGTGATCTTCACTTTCCTGGGACTCTAGTGGTTCAGGAGAATGGAGGTCTTGTAGTCTTCTCAAATGGTGGTGACAGATATAGGGCAGAGTAGGTTCTGCCTCCAAATGAAGCAGTCAATGGATACCTACATGGCAACCATAGTCTGAGACTGAGGCATTGTTTCCTCAGATAGTTTTGGCAGAAGGCTCTAGGAAAGCAGGGCCAGAAGCGTAGTGTCAGTGGGGTCCTCAACCTACTTGGAGGTAAAGGAAGATTAAACTGTTGTTTTGGGGCTCTGCCATGGGTCTTCTTTTCTTTCTGTTCGATTTGTCTTGATCTCATTCGTCAGCTCCAAAATGGTCAATCATCATCATGTACTCATGATTCCTAGGTCTGTACATCTAGCCCTACCTTTTCTTCTTACTTCTAGTACTATATCACTCATTCCATTTGGGACTTCTCCAACTGGATATCCATAGGCATCTCAAATCCAACATATCCAAAAGAGAACTTATTAACTTTACCCCCAACTCTTTCATCTTCTGAATTTCCCTACTGTTGTTAAAGGTACCATCATCCTCCGGGTTTCCCAGGCTTACAGCCTGGGTGTCATCCTCACATCCTCACAGGTATCCCAGTGGTACTCAGTCCACATATCTAATCCATTTCCAAATCTTGTGTTTCTACCTTCACAATACCTCCCCTATGCATCCTCTTCCCTCCCTCACATCATATATCCTATATCTACCCTTCCCTTCTCTCTTATCTCTGCAACCCTAGTTCAGGCTGTCATCGCCTCCTGGATGGATTATTTCAATCACCTTCTAGCTGGTCTCCCTCCCTTAAATCTTTCCTCACTCCAATACATCCTTCACTCAG